TAGAAGAAAAATATGGAAAAAAGAATAGTAATACATAACATAAATTACAAAAAAGGAAGAAGGTATGACAATGTATGTCACCGGTATAAGAATTTTTTACACAATCAAATTACGTTTACATATTATAACAAATAATTTACCTTAATTTTATGATCACAAATTTTATATTATTGAGTGATCAATAATATAAAATTTTCTTTATACTGACAATATGTATAATTTATAATATATATATATATAATATATATATATATATACATATATATATATATATATATATACATATATATATGTATATATATATATTATTGGTAACAATAAGAAATGCAATTATTTGTGAGTGGGGATCAGCTAGAACCTGGAAGAAGCTTCTCTTGATGTCTCTATAGTTGAGGGTATTCTTTGCTAGAAATTATTTATACACCACAAAACTACTTTTAAATGCGTGGCCTCTTAATCACTAATCAGTGTAGTAAGATATTGTTGTCTATTCATACGTTTTTACTTGTTTACTTTAAAATTTTGCACCTTTTTTAAAAAAAAAAAAAAATTATCTATTTATTTTGCGAAAAAACAATTTAACTTTCCCGTTATTAGAAGTTACCTTTATATTGCAAACTTGTTATTTTTGGGCAATACTATACATTTAATTGCTCGGTCAAAATCATTTATACTCACTAGTTAATATACATGTATTATACTTAATGATACAATATTACAATCAGTGTTCGGAGTCTATATTGAAGCTCTGAGTAAATATGAATTATATTACGCATGCAAGATCTATTCGGAGTTTATGATCCAACAAGATAAACTAGAGATCTTTGCACACATCATCGTACAAAGAAAAGATATATTTTCATCTTATTTTGTCTCAATAAAGAGAAACTATCACTTGGGTTACACGAAAGGTGAAATTATACAGTAAAGTTTTGGGCGATTCATGTTTATAGAAAGGGACCTTCCCAAAGATTGTCCACACTTTATATTATTATATCAAATAAAGAAATAATAGGGAATTGGGGAAAAAATGGATTTTATTTTATTTTATAATTTGTCATGGATTTTGATAGCTGCCACGTTGGAAGAGATCATAATGACACGTGGCAACAAGGGAAATCTAAGGGTAGATATTTGTACACGTGTAGTCAAGAAATAAACAGGTAGTTAAGTCAGTTTGTCATGTATTGAATTTGTTTTGATTGATTTTTAGGATAGAATTGGGCGGTGGTACTGTGGAAAAATAGATTTGTTTACATTAGATAACGCCACAAATTGGTGTGGCAAACAGAGGGGGGTGGATGAAAATTAATTAATTATAACCAACAAATTGGTTATAAAAACATAAATGAGGGGTTAATTTGTTTAAATTGTCCATACTTTTTGAGTTATATTGAGAGTGTGAGCAACATTAGATATGATTTTGATCGTTTAGAGTCTTTCTAATATACAATAACTATTACTTTCTTCCGACTCAAATAAGTGAGAGTTGAGTACTATAAAAATTAATTCTATCTATTATCTACAAGAAACTACTTTCTCTGTCTCAATTTATATGACTTACTTTCTTTTTTAGTCAGTTTCAAAAAGAATGACACATTTCTATATTAAGTAACAATTTACATTTAAAATGTTCATTTTACTCTTAATGAAATGATTTATAGTCATAAAAATTTCTATCATTCATTATAGACCACAAATTTTAAAGTCTTCATTTCTTTCTTAAACTCCATGCGGAGTTAAACTACCTCACATAAAATGGGACGGAGCCACAGAGGGAGTAATATTTAATTCATTCAAAGTAGCTGTACACAAATATTACATATTTTCCATAGTTTATAGAACTTAATAAGAACTAACTGACAGTCCACTTCTATAATTAGTAACGTATAGGTTATTTCTTGTTGTGCTTGACCAAAGATTAGAAAAAATGGTGTATTCTTCAAAGATAACAAAAAATGGCACCGCCCAAAAGATCCTTAGTATAAGGAATAGATAACGTATGTTTTTAATCTTCATAATATTTCGAGGCAAAAGTGTTGTATGTGCTAATAAAGCCTCATATTTAAAAATTAAGAGAAGAAAAAAAGTAATGTATAACTAGGGAGAAGGGTGGAGAAATAAATTAAGTGGATTTTTCAATTCATAATTTGGGTTTAAATTTATGTTGTGTTTAGTTGAAGGTATAAGTTAAAATCAAGATAAATTTATACTATAATTACGAGATAATTTATTCTATATAAAGGTGGAATAACTATTTATTATTATAATCATGAGATTGAAAGTGCGATTATTTATCATGGTTATTATTTCACAATTATATTTTTGGTTATAATTTCGAGATATAACTAGATTTTTAACCAAACTATACCTTAAAGTGTACATTATTCGAGACATGAATATCGACCCTAACACAAAACCGGACTCGAGATATAACTAGATTTTTAACCAAACTATACCTTAAAAGTGTACATTATTCGAGACATGAATATGGACCCTAACACAAAAACGGACAAGAGATATAACTAGATTTTTAACCACCCTCCCCCCTAAAGTGTACATTATTCGAGACATGAATATCGACCCTAACACAAAACTCGACTCTCAATTCTGAACCCGACTTGAGACTCGGGATCTGACCTTGACTCATTCCCCAATTATAACCTCAACTCGAGACACGTCTCCCGATCCTAACGCTGACTTGAGACCCAACTCAAAACCTTATTTTCGTCCCTGATTCAGAACTCATCTCTCGACCCCCAACACCCTAGGTTTTGACTCTTAACCCTAACCCTAACTCGAGATCCGACCTCAACTCTGTAACCAACTTCCAATTTTAACTCAACTCACAACTTGACTTTTGACCTCGGCCCAAGATCCGGTATCTGACCTTAACCCAGGACTCGACTCCTAATCCTGAATCTCTCAAAAGCTTAATGATGATTTATTTTATTTTTTTAGATTGTTTTAGCCCAATAAAAAACAGATAATATTGCTAAGTTTTTTTTTTTATCTTTTGTTCATTTCCTTTTCCTTTTAAAATCGGAGGACCAATGAAAACGGGAAAGGTGTGAGAGAAAGCAAAATTGTGGCGTTGAGCCGCAATGGGTAGGCAATTGCAATTCCAATCTCTTATTAACATGTACTCCTAATTAATTAATTAATCATAATACTAATTAAAGGATGACTTGTGTCACCTAATTCCCCCTTGTCCCCTTTAATTTAACAATATTTGATATAATTTGGAGTTTAGAAAGCAATGTTCACCTTTTTATTGCATTATTATTGCGTAACAGAACATTGAAATCATTATTAAAATGATTAATCTGATATATACTCAAGGATGGTTATTCGATAATTGTGGCATATTAGCATAGAATATTGTACGTAAATTCATCTTTTTTCATTAGGATTGTCCAAGCCTTATCAGGAATTAACTCATCTCATTAACCACTAATGTGAAACTTTTTTATCATTCTTTAACAATTATCATCATACCAAATAAATAATTTCATAGTATGAAAAAATTATATAAATTGAATTTTTGAGGTAATCAAGTTTGGGTGTTTGAAAATGAAAGATACATTCCACGACGTTATTCTAAGGTCATTTTCACAATTCATAGCGTTGAAAAGGAGAACCCCAAGTGAGATGACACCTAAAGGGTACGTACGTCTCCAAATATCATTAATAATGGCATTTTCTAAAGTTAAGCTATTCATTACTCTATTGCTCATTTGTCATTATCAACCTCCAATTATTTAGTCTTTAGCCTAATCGACGTATTTATTTGCGTGATTTAAGTTATATATATCCACATATAAAAGGATTACAAGTTACTGGCTTCGATCAAGTCCATACTTTGTTCTCCGGCTCCGACCCTACTAATACACACCTATGACATAATGAAATGAGGCGTAACCATGTACAATGACTACACTAGCCAATTTTTGTGAAGGAGATTAGAAATATAGCCCACCTAATAATCTTCACTCCACTATGTATTAATTAGGAGTAAATTTCCACCCCCACCATGCATTACTCAAGGAGCAAACTTCTATTCTATCAAAGACCAATCATTCTTCTCTTTCAAACTCTTCAAAGGCCAAAACTGATCACCCCTACCCCAACAACAAGCCCAGAAGTATTACACTTGGACATGAAAGCATCCACATGCAGAATTTGATCATTGTCCTAACATATCCCTCATGACTCTCCATAGCAGAAAAAGGATGTACTAGTTTACCAATGGAACCTCTTTAATCCACATATATACAAGAATTGCCCTTAACGTAACAAACCAAACGGGGGATAAGAAATAGTATCAGCATTACTAAAACATCATATTCAATACTATTCTTATACAATCTAATCAATCAGCTTCTTCTGTAGTCAATAACAACTATATCTCAATCCCCCCCACCCGGCCAGTTAGGGTCGATTATATGAATCCTCATGAACCATATTTCTTCCATAGTCAGTATTTAGGCTAAATATAGAGCAGATCACAACAGCTGCCCAAGCATGTCTAGTTAATAGTGAGCATGATCAACAATAGACAAGAATTTTCTCTAAAAACTGTAGCAGAAAATAAATGGTTATCAGCTTGTCTTATTTTTGTACAATGACTAGGCTTTTGAGTTATGAGTTGCCTTTATCGTCTTTGGCAGAAAGATGCAGCACTTAAATGAACAAGTGTAAGGTCCAAAATTCTGTGTATTTAACATTTCACATCATACTTCCAGTTCAACGGATATGGAACCACCCCAATCAATGATTTTTTCAGTCAGACTCCTCGTGTAACTTGTGTATGATAAGTATTCCTAAAAAACACTATCATTGGTGTCGGGAATGATAGTTTACTACTACTCAAATTGATTAGGTCTATAAAAGAACCCTGCTCGTGAATTATTGCAAGTCAAATCACAACTTTGTGTCCCATCATGCCTCAATCATGATACTGAATGACTGAATCCCCAGGAAATAAATGAACACCAAAATGACATAGAAAGAGCTATAGATATGAGGAAAGAAACAACACCAATGAAATTAACTGACTAGACTGAATGATTTGTGAGAAAAGGATCTGATTGAAGAAATGAGAATTTACATATACGTACATAATTACAAATGCTATATCAGATAACGCAACCATACAACCAATGAAAATAGAAGAGAACTCATAGTGTAATGCCATGAAACTGCAAGGAGTGATGCTGCAGATGGTTTAGGGGTAGCTTTACCGGCAATGGCGGGTGCAACTGCATGTCCACCCGAGTTTCTTTGTTGCTCAGTCGTTGGCAGCGGATTTGATGTCAAACCACTCGGAGGTGGTGTTGGTGATACCTTTGCTGTCCCACCTATATCTTGACCTGAAGATGTAAAAGATGAATTCGTGAATTAAACACACAAAATTATATTATAGAATTCTACATGCTACTACAGAAGAACATATGTACTTCAATTGGGTTATTGCATGACTTTTTGAAATTCTCCATGCTTTTAAAACTCTTGTAGGAAAACCATTCCAGACCTTGAGGCAGGCACTAGCCATGATAGTTATTATGCTAATTACTACAAGTTAACTATGGTTTTCATAATTATCATAGATAATATTCCAATTATAACACAATAGACAATTAATTGAAGGGCCAAATTTAGTGAAACATTTATAAGTGCCAAACTTCACAAAAGTAGGTTTTACTAAGATTAACCGGCCGATACAAGTCAAAAAATGAGCAAAGGTGTTGTCTGCATGAATCTGCTCAAAGAACAACATAAGAATTACCAACTTCAGGACCGTCTAAATAACCCACGTGATTCAATCTAAAACTCTAAACTGGAACATCAAGGAAATACCTATCAAGTCAAATTATCTCCCATATATCACAAAACTCGTTTTTCGTCTTTCCCTTTTAATCCAGCAACAAAAAACCAAAACTAGTTCAATTTAAACTAAATATGCACAATGAGCTTACACTTGGAGTGAGACCAACCCAACTTCATGTTTTCCCAATCAAACACCAATCGATATCCCTCCATAAAGTTCTCTGCACAGCATAACTCAAATGAAATTGCATGGAACATCCAACGGTCAACATGCATGTATACACACCTTAAATGAGTTTGAAATTACATATCAACTTACGTCCAATAATACCAATCATTCCTTCAATAGGTAGGAGACCCACGCAATAAAAGTTATCGCCCTGCACAAAATACCTCCAATAAGAAACCATCACTATCAGGACTGCAAAACAAAGTCCATGAGAGGGCACAATGAACTTGAGATCATACACTGGAAAACCTATGGAGAAAACCATACTTGCTTTGTCATAAAGGAATTGAAAAGATCTTGTTTAAGCATGCAAAGGCAGTAGGGTAACATGTATATTGACAGCAGTAAAACCAAAACGAACATAGACCAAGTACAAGGGCATTTATCCATCATTCATCTTTGCACATAGAGAGCATTTTACTCCAGAAGTTTGCAAAACAACAGGCTACAACTTTAATAACTAATGAATGGGACCAAACAAACTGACTTTGTAGACAGTAGTCACTATGACAAAACTAATAAATATATTTTCTATTGTTGACAAAACTAATATACCCTCTGTTTCAATTTGCTTGTCTTAGTTTGACTTGGCACGGAGTTTAAGTAAAGAAGATTATTAAATCTTGTGGTCTTAAATTATAGATATGTATAATGCATCAAAATTCACTTCATTCTGTTGGTCTTAAACACGCCACGTAGGATGTTGAAGTTACTTATTACTGAGTTGCCAAATTAGGAAAGAGGCATTCTTCTTGAAACAAACTAAAAAGGAAAGCAAGACAAACAACTTGAAATAGGGGGAGTAGAATTTATTTATTTTTTATTTTTTTTGATAACCGAGAAATCCGTCTGTGACCCGCCCTTTGGACCAATCACAGCCTTCTAAACTCGGTGGATAATGGGCCCGCCCCTCTACCCTTCTCCACTTAAATACCGGGCTTCGCTTTGCATGGTGTGGGGCTTGAACCTGCGACCTAAGCCACAAATCCTCAACCTTTTGCCACTTGAGCTAGGCCTTGGGGGCAGGGGGAGTAGAATTTTTAGAGAACTAACTTCATAGGGAGAGACGATGAGAACTAACAAGCTGGGATGGACACAGAAGAAATTTTTGGAAGGATTGCAGTTCTACAGTAAACCTATCACAGAAGCCACATACAAAATCTTATAGAGCTAATTTACACTATCAAAAATTTCCCAAGTACCAGCAGAAATTTTCTTAAACTTTAGGTGTCATGGCACCAACTAGCCCCATGTCCTATCTGTTCACCATCACTCATAGCAAACTTTGGATCCTTTCTTGCAGTGACTCTCGTTCTCCTTAAGTGATATGCTTCGAGCATCTCTACCAAAAGTTTCTTGGTGAAGAGCTGGATTCAATTTCACAAGTTCTTTGATTTTAGAGAAATTACAAATCCAAAATAATAGTAACAATGATATCTAACAACTATTAAAAACTCTAAAGCCAGTTAGCTACCAGACACAAAATGAAAAATAGGGAGTACTTTTT